AGAAGGGCAAGTTGAGCCCTAGGTATATCGGACGTTTTGATATTCTTGAGAGAGTGGGTGAGGTAGTCTATAAGCTTGCATTGCCACCCAGTTTATCAATAGCCCATTTGGTGTTCCATATGTCCATGTTCCGAAGGTATCACGTTGATCCGTTCCATGTATTAGATTTCAGCTCAGTCTAATTGGACAAGAATTTGACTTACGAGGAGGAGCCGGTGGTCATTCTAGCTCAGCAGGTCCGAAAGTTGAGGTCTAAGAGTTATTCTTCAGTTCGAGTGGAGTGGAGAGGTCAGCTGATCGAGGAAGCTACGTGGGAGTCCGAGTCCGACATACGGGGTAGATACCATACGTTTTCACCAGGCCAGGTACTTTTCTTTGTCCGTTCGAGGACGAACATTTGTTTTAGAGGTGGAAAATGTGATGATCTGATAGGTCATTTTAATATTTAGCCTCTATTCTCGTATTGTGAGACCTCACTTAGCTTCATTTAGCATTTCTCGATTTGCATGCGCAGTCTGTGTCTTATTCCAGAAAGTCTTTATGTGAAAAATTGAAGGAAATGTGAAATTTTACCTTAAACGTGACTGGAGTTGACTATGGTCAACATTTTGTGTAAACGAACCCGGATCAGTATTTTGACGGTACTGGTAAGTCCGTATCGTGATTTGGGACTTGGGCGTATGCCCGGAATTTAATTCAGAAGTCCCTAACTTGTTTTGACTCATTTTTCCGAAAACTAGCTTTTTTGAAAGTTGGAAATTTCTAAGTTTGACCATAAACTGACTTCTTGGCTAATGAGTTTGGATTTTGATGTTAAAACTTGGAATAGTTTTGTATTGCTATTTGAAACTTGTCTGCAAAATTTGGTTCAATTCGGAATTCATTTGACATGATTCGGACGCTTAAATGTGATTCTAGTGTTCTTGAGTTCCACTTTGAAAGTTCATTCGTTTTGAGGATTCGTAGATTCAGGTGTTATTTTGATTATTTGATTGTGAGAGAAAGTTCGTATGATGTTATTACACTTGTGTGCATGTTTAGTTTGGAGCCCGAGGGGCTCGGGTGAGTTTCGGATAGGCTACGGATTGATTTAGACTTTGGAGATAGCTGATGATTTCTCTATTGCCAGTTTGGTCTGCAGATCTCGCATTTGCGAGGTATGGCTCGCAAATGCTAGCCTCGCTTTTGCGATTAATCTCATGCAAGATTTGATTGCGCGAGCAAGTTCATATGATGTTATTGTGTGCATGTTTAGTTTGGAGCCCAAGGGGCTCAAGTGAGTTTCGGATAGGATATGGATTGATTTTAGACTTTGGAGATAGCTCATGATTTCTCTATTGCTAGTGTGGTCTGCAGATCTCGCATTTGCGAGGTCTAGCTCGCAAATGCTAGACTCGCTTTTGCGATCAAGATATTGCATTTGCGATCAGGGGCTTGGGCTGGGTGAACTCGCATTTGCGAGGAACAGTTCGCATTTGCGAAACTGTGGACCTTCACTTTTGCGAAGGAAGTGGCCCCAATTGCGATCACTAACTATTGCTGTCTGCTTCACATTTGCGAAGTGTATTGTCGCATTTGCGAAGGCTGGAAGCTCGCATTTGCGAATTCTGTGGCTCTAAGATAGGGTTTGCATTGCGACCCTTGTCTTGCATTTGCGATGTTCGCAATTGCGAACAAGACATCGCAATTGCGACATCCATGGCTCGATAAAAGAGGGGGAAAACGGGACTTACCTCATTTCTCACAATTTCTCAATCCTAAACACCCCAGACGCGAATCTTCAAGAGACATTTCTTCCTAAATTCATTGGTAAGTGACTTTAATCCATTTCTTTTCAATTACCCATTGCATTTCATGAGGTTTCAACATCAAGTTTAGGATTTTCATGGTAGAAAACTAGAAATTAGGGATTTGGGTAGAATTAGGGAATTTTTTAAAATTGAGATTTATACCTCTAATTGAGCTCGGATATCGAAACAAATCACATAACCGGGCTCGAGGGTGAATGGGTAATCGGTTTTTGGTCCGAATCTCGATTTTGACCAAGCGGGCTTAGGGTTGACTTTTGATGGCTTTTTCAGCTAAAGTGAACCTCTTTCATTTGTGGGTAGTTTCTAAAGCTTATTTTGGATCATTTGGCAATAATTTGCTAGATTTGGTTGGTTTGGATGTTTGTTCAAAAGGCAAGGCCATGGTTGATTGATTACTTGAGTTGCAGAGTGAGGTAAGTATTGGGTCTATCCTTGATTTGAGGGAATTAGGAACCCTCGAGTTAAATGCTATGTGAATTACGTGTGGAACACGTATATACGATGTGACGAGTGCATATGTGTTGTTGTGTTACTTGCTTCCATGTTTTCGTTACTTCTTGGTATATCTTGTTACATGTATTAATTGCTACATGCTTATTTGACTTCCAAGCCATAATTGCTACTTGTTATTAGTTATCCATGTATTAAATTATCCATCTCTCCCATGATTCCATGCTTAATTGCTAATTGTCTCTACTCGCTTTACTTGCATATTTAATTTATTTTATGCATTACTTGTCATATTGTTTTGTAAATTTGTTGCCTTATATAACGTAGTTACACTTGTATGATTTGTTAATTGGTAGATATCGATGAGTTATTAAAGTTGAGACATACGAGTTGTTACAGGTTCTAAGGTTATTATGTGATTCTTCATTTCCTCGTACATTTACCCTCTTGACGTATTGCTATTTTTGATTGAAATTGTTTGGGGAGCGGGTTGCACGCCGCAACGAAAATTGAAAGGAAATGAGTTGAAATGGGGTAATAAGGACGGATTGTGATATTGATAGATGATGATATGGTGGGATCGGGTTATCCACCGCAACGGATTGTAAAAGTTATGTTTGTTTGTGACTGTTGGTATTGCCTCGGTAATTGAGATGAGTTTATATGACTTGTTATTCTAGACTCTCTGTTAGTTGTATTTTGGGTTCGTTGTTATGAGTTAACTGCTTCATTTCCATTCCTGTCTTTTCTGTTATTATTGCGTACAAGTTATTGTGAGTGACCGCCTTAGCCTCGTCACTACTTCGTCGAGGTTAAGCTCGGCACTTACAGAGTACATGGTTACACTCTCCACTTCTTGCGCAGCTACTGAAGTTGGTCCTAGTGGCGTTCAGTAGATTTGCTCGGATCTAGCTATCAGTGGAGACTTGAGGTATAGATGCATGGCGTATGCAGCCCTGAAGTCCCCTTCTACATCATTTAGCTATTTATTTCGATTTAAATAGTTATGTTTATTTCAGATAATTATCTGTAGTACTCTAGACGCTCATGTATCGGTGACACCAGTTCCGGGATTTGTATTTGGATTTCGTCGCTTATTAGTTTATTACCTTATTTCAGACTATTCAATTTTATCATTGTCATTAATTTGGAAATTGCTAAAAATAGTTAATAATTATATCTAATGTTGGTTTTCCTAGCAAGTGAAATGTTAGGCGCCATCACCGTTCCGAGGGTGGGGATTCCGGATTGTGACAACAACTTATTTATAACTTATCTACAAGTTTCATACATTATTTTACCCAATTAAATACAACTACAACATCATGCAACTTAAATACAAATTTTATATAAATATGTCTTTTTATGTATTTTATATATGATTTGTATATATATAGTGTGTATTTCTTCTTCCCTAAAATTCCAATCAAAACTTCCTCCCTTCATACAATTTTGATACATATCAACAACTTTATATAAAAAGGATAATATTTATAACTTAAATACAAATTTCATACAATGACTCATACATTATACAACCATTTTTCAACTTTCATATAATATTCAAATAAAAAAAATATAACTACAACATAATACAACTTAAATACAATTTGCATACAATTGTAATATAACTTTAATACATCTTTTTATCTTTAAGTTTCAATCTGAAAATTCATCCATAATTAACTTTAATCTTCACCAAACACCTTTATAATTGAGATACAAACTCCACAGAATATTCCTGATCGTTTGCAATAACACCCAATCAAAATAAATAATTATTTTACAAAATTCAAAATCAAAGTTTCAAAGCTTTTGATGGCTTTCAATAATTGGAGGGGAAACTGACAACAACTGGTTCGATGGTGATAAGCGACGACATCAAATCTATTATTGAATTCTCCGGAAAAAAAGAGATTAGAAAAGAGAAGAGAATCATAGAGATCCAAAGAAGAAGAAGTCGGGCGGGAGAGAGAGATAGAGAGAGAGAGAGAGATAGAGAGAGAGAGAGAGAGAGAGAGAGAGAGAGAGAGAGAGAGCACTGTGGAATTTGATTTCCACATTAAAAGGCTACAATCAAGGATACTCATTTAAAATTTATTTGTATATAACTGGTAAATTATATATCAACTTTTAATTAAGTTAAAACCTAAATAGTGAATTTAAATAAGTTTATAATATAGTACATATAGGTAAAAATATGTTTAACTTTTATATTTATAAAGACTCAAATGGGGGTTTCCTCATGGGAGACTGGGAATTCTCCCAAAAGTGATCATATTTAAAAATCCATGGAAATCCATATTATCCGTTGGTTAACCCATTTTTTATCCGTATTAAATATGAGTTAGGTCAGTAAAACTTAATCGTTTTCGTATTACCCATTTTCACCCGTTCATATTCGACACGACCAGCCCGTTTGCCCTCAAACTCGATTCCATTCTAGACAGATTATTTGGGCAAGTCTATCCTATATTGACCAAACTATAACGTTTTTTTTACAACAAGAGATAATTACCCAGAAAACTACATGCCTTAAGGACATTCGTGTTGCCCAAGTTGGCAAGCTTATAGCATACTTCAGTACTAATATTTTTAACAAAATAAACACAGTCAGCCCTATCTGTAGCCAAATTATTTATAACATAAGGGGGCGGTCTGTCTAGAAGTTGATGTTCCTTTGGAAGATTGAGAGATTCCTTAGCCAGCTTATGGGATACTTTGTTTCCTTCCCTGAAATTATGCTGGATTGACGGCTGCTTCAGCTGGAGCATTAACCACCTACAAGTGCAAATAATCATATCATTAGAAAAATATCCATTTTTTATAACTTTGATTACCTCTGTTGCGTCAGTTTCGATGATCAGTGGAGTGAATCCCTTCGTAAATACTATATTGAGGCCTTCCTTGAGTGCTTCTAGTTTTGTTTGTAGTGGTAATATAGCTGGGCAGTGGTGTTGAAAGCCTGCTATCCAGTGGCCATTATGGTTCCTGAATACACCTACTAAACTCCCCAAGTTTTCTTTCTCATTGAACGCACCGTCTATGTTGAGCTTGTAGAAATTTGTATGAGGTTTGTGCCATGCAACCTTTATTGCATGGGAATGAACAGTAAATTGTTCTTGTTGGCCCAAGTGAAGTTGGTTTTGAAGATTGACAAAGGAACTCAAACATGAACCAGGTCCATCCACAGTGTACACAGACACGGGCAGGAACAAGCATAAGGGATGCATCTGAGGGAGATAAGATTAACTTGTTATATCTAATATCTCCTGATCGAAAAGGTTTCATAATTGATAAGGAGAAGGACTTGATCGGTTCCAAGCCTGTACTACTATTGAGTAGCAAGGATGGTCGATGCAGTTTTACCCAACAAAGGTCGGGATCGATTTCCACAAGGAGTTAATTGATTTGGAGTTATGTATCTAACTAATCTAGATGTGTGTGTTGTTCCAGATTGCACCTCCAAACATGGTTATGATTGATTATACTTCTAATTCTATATTATAATAGGTCAGAATGAGCTAAGTACACTATTTTTGGTGGAAGTTTTCAAGTGTTAAAAAGGCACTAGCGTAGTGACTTTTGCCTAGGTAGATATCTAACGGGTATCGAGAATTCAGGGCAAGCTTGTTGTGATTGCGGTCATGATATAACCATCGCACATAAGTGCTCACTCTATACCTCTTGGTAGTTTGAGTGACTTAGCCCAACTTGGCTTTCTCAAGTCCAAATGGGTGTTCATGCATCACAAATGATATTGGCTCAAGTCGGGTACTACTATCTCTAGGTTTAACCCTTTAATTGGGGCTATCAATCTCTTGAATTCACCCCAATTCCTTGTTAGCCTAATTTTCCTAGACTTAGTCCCTCTTTCTCAAGAAGAGTCTAAGTCATAAAGGCACGAATCAGTGTTTGCAACCACCAATCCTACAATTAAAGCATGAATTATGTTGAATATCACTAACCCATAAATAATTTGATAGATCATAAATACTCTTGCCTTATATTTTGATGATCTAACAAACATACTGTTAAGAACTAGATAGGGAACCTGACCTACTTGGATTGCTGCAACCTTTAACGGATTCCAGCTAAAGGTGAACTGCTACAGCTTCAGGAGCTAGGAACCAACACAAGGACCTGATGCTCTTGTGGTATCCTCATAGCAGTACACAGTCAATTGGACACAGCTGGAAATGAAGTGACTGACGGTATTGTTTCTTCCGCACTGCACTGCACTGTCCGCCCACTCATTCTCTAACCAAACAAAGTACTCACATCACTTCAAGTGATGTGATCAAGATTTACCCACAATGAGCTTTATACAAAACATGACTGGAAGGCTTTTGTTTCCCATTCAAGTCTCTTGCAAAAAAAAAAAAAAAAAAACAGAAAAATCAATCCTCACAAGCTTGAAGAACAAGGTTGAACACTACTAAGGACCAGTTCCTAAAAGGTAGATTGTTGTTGTCCTAGTTGAGTTGTAACCTTGTTATTGTACTTACTGTATCTCCTAAACTGCTTACCTAGAAGCATTTTGATTAGGAATCCTCTTGTAAATCCATAAACTCCTTGAGTTTATGTTGTGACTAGATTTAGTCATAAGGAAAATTCTTTGTAATCGTAGAGTTACAGATTGGCTTGTGGTGATAGCATCACAAGTTAGAAAAAGCCTTTGTAACTAGGATAGTCACAAAGTGGCTTGTGGTAAAGGTACCGCAAGTTAGTTGAGTAAACCCTTTGCAATAGGAAGTATTGTAAAGTGGCTTGCAATAGGTAGATTACAAGTTAGTGAAGTTAAAAGCCTGCAGGTGTAGGTCGTGATTTTTTGTTCCCCTTGTGTGAGATTTTTCCACGTAAAAATCCTCTGTCTCATTTACATACTGTTTTATTAAGTACTCTCAGTAGAACCTTGTAGAGTACCAGGTACTTTACGATTTTGGTGGACCCATACAAACTAACAATTGGTATCAGAGCAGGTTCCTCCTATCAGGCTAACACCTAGGAAGGATCCTCATGGCGGCTCCACTAAATTCTGAAGAAGGGAAATCCATATACCAACCCCCCAAGTTTGATGGAAAATGCTATTGGTGGTGGAAAGTTAGAATGCACGATTTCATCATGGCTGAGGATTGTGAGCTGTTGGCCCAAGATCAGTTGAAATTTTGAAGAATGGCAAACGAATTCAGTAAAGGACCAGGTTCATCTAAGGAGATACAGTTGTTATGGCCCATACACATGAAGTGCACATGAAGAAGATAAGTCCTTGAGATCAAGCAGCAATATCTTGATGAATATCTTCTGAACTGGTCGAAAAGATTGCGTATAGGATAAGGAGTTGAAGTCTCCTTATGAAAAGAGAATTACATCCGAATCAAGAATATGGATTAGGAGTTAGAGTTGTTCTTGGACTCGAATTGTCAAAGGATCCACAATTCGAGTTCTTATCAAACTCTGATTACTAACTCTATAAATATAACGATTGTTCTCTTTTACAGGTGAATGCACATAAGCAGAAGTTAAGCATATTTGAGAGCAAAAAGATCAAGTCTGATTTGCAAGCAACATATGCGAGATACAAGTGTGCACGTCTGAAGCTACATGAACTAAGATAGAAGAACCAGTTTCATCATTGTGTTTATTCTAAGTCTAGTTCAATTGTAGTAGGTTTTCATATTGTACCTTTTAGCTTTATCTAGAAGCAATTGTAATAGGTATATTGAGTATTCAAGTTAGAGTTAACTTGAAAGTGTCGCAACAGTTGAGGCTGTGTGCTACACTGGGATTAGAGTTAATCCTTAGGTTTACAAAGAGTTTTGTAAATGCAGTTTTTGGCTCAGTGATTTTAGTGGAGTTTGGGAAAATCCTACTGAGTAGTAGGTCGTGGTTTTTTCACCTTTTGAGCCAGGTGTTTTCCACGTAAAAGTCTCTGTGCACTTTATTTTCAGTATTTATTATTCCGCAAACTGCTGTAGTTAGAACACTTAGAAGAACCAGGTTCTTCTAACGCGAAAATTAGGTACCACATAAATCTCCCCCCTCTTGTGTGGTATTGACGTTTAAAACATCATGAGCTATGGGATATCATTTGCGATGGTCCTTATGCTCCAATGAAGGTACTAGATGAATTTTTATTTTCAATGAAAAAACCATCAAAGAATACACTGAAGCAGACAAGAAAGTTGTGGAGAAGAACTTTCGTACCAAGAAAATTCTGGTATGTGGAATGGGACCTAAAGAGTACGACAAAATCTCTACCTGTGACACTGCAAAGGAAATATGGGAGACTTTGCAAACAGCTCATGAGGGAACCACACAAGCAAAACAGTCTGAAGATAAACCTAATACTGGTGATAGCTCCATGATGGCAGTTGAAGGCGAGGAGATTGGATATAACTCAACTTTTGCTTTGATGGCTCAATAAGATGATGATGAAGACAATGGCAACAAAGAGGTAAACTTCAGGGATGTTCAGAGAAATCTGAAATCCCATTCTCCAAAAAAACTCATGTGTTTAGCTGATGTTTTAATCACTACCTTTTGTAGTATTGCGGATGATAGGGATTCCTTGATCTTAGAACTAGAAGAATCTGAACATACTAGAGAAGATTTAGTGGCTGCAGTTACTGACCATAAGAAAACCATTGAAATACTTAGAAAAGAAAAGAGTGATCTGTTGGTAGAAATTGCAGACCAAAGGGAAACAATAGTAAAACCATAGACTAAGTCAAAACCTGAAAGTTCTGAAAGAGGAAAGGAGATAGTGAGTGAGGGATACCTTAGGCTTGAAGATGAGGTGAAAGCTATGCGATTTAGGATGTGTGCTGAAACTGAGAAAAAACGAGCTCCTCCAAACCAATCTAGAAAGAGTAATGAATGATCTTGAAAGGTCTTTAAAGTGGACCTGGTCCTCAGAAGCTACCACTGCCTTGCTTAATAATGATAGTGGAAAAAGGTAGGGAGTAGGGTTCCAAAGGGAGAAAACTCCTCACAACCCTTACAGTAAGTGTGTCACTATCTCTGATAACTGGCCTCGTACCCAATATGGTAACACTGTGCACTTCAAGGAAGGCATCCAGGCCAAGAATCAATCAGTTCAGAAAGACAAAGTGGCTGCTGAAACTGTGACCACAAAAGAGGGACCAGGTTCCGCTTACAAAAAATGCACATTACCTACATGGACTAAGAGAGCTCTTATTCATCCTCTTGCTTACTACAAGGGACCCAAACTTGTTTGGGTTCCTAAAACTAACTCCTAATCTCTTGTGCAGGGAACAGTGAAAGGAAGCGGTCAACAATGGTTCATGGATAGTGGATGTTCGAAACACATGACTAAGAACACCACATACTTTCTTTCACTAAAAGCCCTGCAAGGAGGGAGTGTATCCTTTGGCAATGGCAAAAAGGGGTACATTCTTGGAGTTGGAAAAGTTGGGAAGTCACTCACTCATTCTATTGAAAATGTATACTATGTCAATGGGCTTAAGTACAGTCTCCCGAGTGTTTCTCAAATATGTGATAAAGGAAACAAGGTGGAATTCTTGTCCAAAATTTGTACAGTCACCGATCTTGTGACCGGTGAAATAGTACTGGTGGCCAAAAGATACAAGAACATCTTTGCTGCTGATTTCGAATCTTTACAGAGTGGTGATCTGAGTTGTCTGAAAGTGGTTGACGATGATGCTGAACAATGGCACAGAAGACTGGGCCATGCAAGCTTTTCCCTTCTGAACAAACTAATTCAGAAGGACCTGGTCCATGGTCAGCCTATGTCACAACTCAAGATTCAAAAAGTCTGTGATGCCTGTGCTAGAGGAAAACATGTGAAGTCCTCCTTTATGTCTAAAAGAGATGTGAGCACCTCAAAGCCACTTGAGCTCCTGGATATGGATCTGTGTGGACCTATGAGGGTGCAAAGCAGAGGAGGAAAGAGATACATTTTTGTAATCGTGGATGACTATTCCAGATTCACATGGACTCTGTTTCTCAGAACAAAAGATGAAACTGTTGAAGTATTTGTGGCCTTTGTGAAGAAAATCCAGGTGAAGATGGAGTCTAGAGTCATATGCATTAGATCAGATCATGGGACAGAATTTGACAATGTCAAATTTGATAAATTCTGTAATGAAAATGGCATCACTCACAACTTCTCAGCTCCCAGAACTCCCAAGCAAAATGGAGTAGTAGAAAGGAAGAACAAAACTCTGGAAGAAATGGCAAGAACAATGCTGATTGACAGTGGAATTGCAAAGAATTTCTGGGCTGAAGCTGTCAACACTGCCTGCTATTTAGTGAACAGGTGCATGATCAGATCACTTCTGAATAAGACCCCTTATGAATTATTGAATGGAAGAAAACCCAAGCTGACTCATCTAAGAACATTTGGATGCAAATTCTATGTTCTTAACAATGGAAAGGATCAGCTTGGTAAATTCGATGCCAAGAGTGACGAAGGAATATTTCTTGGGTACTCTTCTTAAAGCAAGACTTACAAGATATATAACAAGCGGACTCAATATGTTGAGGAGAGTGTCCATTTTATCTTTGATGAATCTTATCCATCATCTGAGAAGAGTGCCGAGGAAGATCAAGATGGAGAACCCTTACTCGTTCCTGGTGAAGTTATTAACATGACAAACGGAAAGACAGATATGATGAGTCAAGTAAAGGAACCAAATGAAGACAATGCTGCCTCATCATCAATAGAACCAAGCACCTCAATCACAACCACAAAAGCTGAAGAAAGGGTGGTTGATGCAGTTCAGGGAACTTCACTAGCACCTGAAAGAAGGATAGAGGAAAATCATCCAAGCATACCTTCCTCCTCTTGGAATGAATCTCAGGCGTCTAACTGGAGACACCAAAGCTCTCACCCTATAGACAACATCATCACTCCTCTAGATTCTGGAGTACAAACCAGGTTAAGAGCCAGAAATTCACTTGCCTTCTCAGCCTTTCTCTCCTAGATAGAACCCAAAAACATCAAGGAAGCCTTGAAAGATGCAGATTTGATCACGGCCATGCAAGACGAGCTGCATCAATTTGAGAGAAACAATGTGTTGCACCTGGTACCTAGACCCCCAGATCGAACCATTATAGTAACCAGGTGGGTCTTTATAAACAAGCTCGATGAACATGGAATTACCACAAGGAACAAGGCCAGGCTAGTGGTCCAAGGATACAATCAAGAGGAAGGGATTGACTATAATGAAACGTTTGCTCCAGTGGCTCGCATGGAAGCTATCATAATTCTAATCGCTTTTGTATCTCATATGGAATTCACCCTGTTCCAAATGGATGTCAAGAGTGCATTTTTGAATGGACTCCTTAATAAAGAAGTCTATGTGAAGCAACCCCCAGGGTTTGAATGTCATGAGCACCCTGAATATGTGTTCAAACTGGACAAAACTCTGTATGGGCTAAAGCAGGCTCCTCGAGCTTGGTATGAAAGACTGTCAAAGTTCCTCTTAGAAAATGGTTTTAAAAGAGGGAAAATTGACAACACTCTTTTCTTAAAGAAACGAGGAAGGAACCTGCTCATTGTTCAGGTTTATGTTGATGATATCAGTTTTGGGGCAACAACTGACTCTCTGTGTGAAGAATTTGCAAAACTTATGGGAAGTGAATTTGAAATGAGCATGATGAGAGAATTTGCAAAACTGGGAACTGTTCTTCCAAATTCATTTTGATACTTCCTCACTGCTTTGACTTTATACTTGAACTCAGTCATGTTATTTTCCACTGTTTTCAAAACTCAGCCATGTTCACTCAGTTTTAATACTCAAATGATATTTAAATGATGTTTTGGGCTGAGAAACACTGTTTTACTGTTGCCCGAGAGGCTGATGTGATTTTGACTGAGTAATGCCGAGGGCCTGTGTTGTGAGGATATCATTTGGGTCGGGCTGCACGCTGCAGCGGTGATACACTGATTTTGATTATGAGGCAGAGGGCCTGAGATTGTACGCCATGAGGTGGCTTGATATTGATGTGAGGCCGAGAGCCTGTTTATGATGCCACGAGATGACTTAATATTGTGCTTGGGCCGTAAGGGGCCCCTCCTGGAGTCTGCACACCTCAAGCGAGCGCGGGTACCCATTGTGATGTGAGATATAGCCCGAGGGGCTGGTATTGTTTTATGTGATTGCCCGAGGGGCTGATATTGTTCTATGTGATTGCCCGAGGGGCTGCTACTGTTCTGAGATATTGCCCGAGGGGCGGATTTGTTGACATTATGCCCGAGGGGCGAACTATATGTGCTTATCTTTCTTATTTGCCTGTCATTTACCTGTTTAGTTGTGTAGTTGTGCCCGAGGGGTAGATTTTCTGTGCTTATCTGCGCTAACTGTTTTGCATTCATTTGCGTAACTATTGAAAAGGTCATTGATAAAGAAGTTTAAACTGAGCTAAGATATTTTAAGAGATTTCACAGCTTCATTGCCTTCTTATTGGTTTTGTACTACTTCTATACAGCATGTTGATGCATTTTTCGTGATTTCTTATCATTCAGTCTTTATTTATGATTATTACTCACTGAGTTGGAAGTACTCACTTTACTCCCTGCACCTTGTGTGCAGATTCAGGTATTTTCTGAACCCGGTAGCGGGTATTGGTTGATCGGAGGCAGAGTCATCGGAGTTTAGCAAGGTAGCTGCCGGCGTTTGCAGCACTGCTTTTCTCCCTCTTTATTCTATTAGTCTGTACTTAGTACATTTCAGACTTTGTCAGTGGTATTTAGACCTTAGTAGATGCTCATGACTAGTGACACCCCGGTTTGGGCTGTGTTAGGGTTGTACTTTCGCATTGTTATTGTCACACCTCCTTTTTACACCCCGAAGGGTATATAAGGGAGTTTTTCCACTTTAAGTGACATTATTCGAAATGGGATTATTTATTTATCAGAGTCACCACTTGGGGTAGTTTATTTGGTGTCTCAAGTCACCGGTTTATTTTACAAATCCCAAATCGAGGAAATTCGACTTTCCTTTTGAAGTCTGCGAACCAGAAATTCTGAATAAGGAATTCTGTTAACCCGGGAGAAGGTGTTAGGCATTCCCGGGTTCCGTGGTTCTAGCACGGTCGTTTAACTATTATAATTGGCCTATTATCTGATTTTAATACATGTTTTAGCCTATGGTATATTTTAACTTATTAGCCGCTTTTAATTAATTTTAGAAAGATTCAACGTTATCTAAAATACGTCTTGAACCACATCACATGAAATGCACCTGCGGTCCACGACACATTTTATCTAACGTTGTTGAGAATTGGAGTTGGGTCACATGAAATGCACACCCGAGTTTAGAAAATTAATTTAAATAGCGTGCCAAAAGCAACTGGAAAATTCAACTATGACACACCTCGTTTCTAATTTCAAAGGATGTTCGAACTACTTTTGAGGGCCATAAACTATTGGTGTTATTTAATATGGCACACCTCAACTTAAGAGAGCTTAATTAATTTAAACAAACACAATTCGGAACCATTATTTGCACAGACGTCTGCTACAGAAGAACATTGGGCTTCTGGGCTGAATCCAGACCAAGAAAATGGACGGGCAAGGGACAGTCCAGGTTATTGGGTCCCTACACCAACTGGGCCAGCATTAGGCCCAACTCGTAGAACCAAATAATTTGTACGAAATCATTTAAGAACAACTCAACTAAGGCTACATGAAACATGAAATTGAATTAATATTTTTAACTTCTGACTTTTAACTATTTAAGCACAAATCACTAGTTGAATATCTGAATTTTAACTTTCAAGCATTTTGGGCTCGATCTGCTGTGGACAGAAACTAGTCACAACATTCAGATTAACCATTGGGCTCGAAATGTAAGCCCAAACACCATAAGACAATGCCATTCTCATTCACAAAATAACTTCGAAATCCAAGCACAAATGAATCTAAACTCTCAAGAACCAAAGAAACGAAACTGAATTTTATAACAACACTTAAAACTTGAAGAAGCCAACATATTTAATCTCTTGGGCCATTAGAATCTAGTGACCTCCACTACTGAAAAGAAACATCGAGACTCTGAGCCTAGAAGTGAATCCAGGCTGAAATTTGAAAGGCCAGAAGACCTTTGAACCTACTTGGGCCCAACAATTTCATTTGGGCCATCTGATTAGCTTGCTTGGCCCAAGAAGGGTTATGCATCTCAGTAATTATTGCACCTTTGATTAAACCAAACCTTGACTTATGTCAAAACAGGACTGATTTCACCAAAAACCAAATAAGACCTAGATACTAACTCAAATCTTAATTGCAGCATATGAAAGAGCTAGAATTCACAGAAAACATGCAAACCTTATGTATTTTTAAAGGATTAAAGCCACAATCGACTGACAATACATTCGATACGCATAATGAGTCTAACATTGAACATTTCCTATACTTGTTTCTGACATTACGAAGCAGACATAATCATTTAGTTCATTTAAATGCTGAAAACTAAAATGAGAACAAACAAAGTCATAAGAATTAACCTAGAACACCATACTACCATACAACTTAGATGTCATTTACCCAGATTATGTTCATATCATAACAGTCCAAATTTAAATACAATGATAAAAGTTCACCTATCGAAACCAGAAATCAGCTAGAATATGCAACAAATCAGACAAAAAAACACAATATAATACAGAAGCACAGCTAAATCATAAACATATGAGTCGATGCTATGCTTAAAACTCCATATTTACATTTCATACTTCAAATCGAGCCTCACATTAAGTAGGATCCAGAAACATGTACCTGTATACAGCAAAATAAACCAGAACAAAATCCTGAGATTAGGAGGAAGCAGCAGGAGCAAAAAAGCAAATCAACAAACCCAGCTAAACCAACTAAACCAGCAACAAACCCAGCTTTAAACCAATTTTGGACCCATAAATGAGCCAGGAATTATTGCAGATTTCAGCTACAAGAAAAAAATAGGTCACTGGACCAGTTTTTCAACAGGAATTGCAGAAGATTTCAGTACTTGAAAGCTTAGCCATTTTTCTAAAATTTTAGTATTTTCAGTCTCTAAATTCTGTCCCTTGAGAGTAAAAAATGGCATATTATAGAGAAGTTTTAGGGCAGCAGAAATGACTTCAGTTTTTGCCCCTTACTCCTTTTTAAATTCTCATTTTCGCTACTTAGTCCCTAATCTAAAAATCTATTTTCTAAGTCAGTCCCAAACCCACCTTCCTATCAGCTTCCTAAGTCAGTTATACAAGATTCCTTTACCTAAATTTCCCAAATCACCCTTTAAGACCCTGTTAATTACCCCTGGAACCAAACGGGTCAAATTGATCCAAGACCTAAACCCAAACGAATGGGCTGCTCTTGAAAATGGGTCAGAAATGACCCAAGGTCCAAACCAAAATCAGACTTCAATTTAGTTATTAAGGAGAAACAGAAGCAGAAGCAATCTGGACGATTCCAAAACCAAAAATCTAACTAAATGATTGATTTCCTTTTTAAAACTAACTAATGAGCTAGAATTAACAGAATGACCAAATTAACACAAAATCTAATTAACGAAACAAAACAAACAAAATTAACGAAAATTTTAACGAGCAAAATCAGAAGCTAAACAAGCAAAATGCACAAACCAAACAAAATTAACGAAAATTTTAAAAGAAAACTGGAAAAACACACGGGATAAACACGAACACCAAAAAAACAAGGAAAACCTAGATTCAGAAGTTGAAAATTTCACCAAATTCATCAGAAGAAACTAAACTAAAGAAAGGTAGAAGAAAGAGAGAGGAACATATGGTGAAACAACAACAAAAAATGGACAGAAGACTCGAAAGAATCGGAAGGCTATGGTCATGCATGCCAACAGATTCAACGGGAGTTGATTTTGGGCTTTAGAGCTTCCACCTTAGATTTGAAATTCGAGCAGATGCCAAAGGATTCGAGGAAAATTGGTTAGAGATTGGGAAAGGGGAGGTTGTGAGGATTTTGGGGTGTGAGTTTGAGGCTGGTTAGAGGTGGCGCTGCCACCGGAGAAGGTTGAGGATTTGAGGCGGTGGGCGTTAGTGTTCGTGGAGATGAGGGAGATGAAGTGAAGTGTTTGGACGAGGTTGTTTGAGGGGGTGTTTGGACAGATTTAACTAAAATGGGGCAAGTATTTTGAGCCCTTGGATACAAAGAAATGAAGGGCCCCGATTGATTTTAAAATTTCAAACTCAAAACGACGTAGTCTCACTCCCATACTACGTCGTTTTAAAGGTCTTGGGGCTGAAGTCTTGGACCGGTTTGGAGCGTGATTGGGCTTGGATCTACCGGGTATTTGAGCAAAAACGTTTGGGCCTGAGAATTTTAATTAAAACAGCCCAACAAATCAATCTTCTTTCAATTCCTTTTCTTTTTCTTTTTCTTTTTCTTTTCAATTTTCAAATTCCTTTTCTTTCTTTTTCAAATTAAAATAGACCTAAGTTATCTTCTAAATATTGAATTAACCTACCAAATTATATTAAATACGCAACATAATATTTTAAAAAAATAAATAACTCCTAAATTAAAAGAAAAGCTACAAAATTCAAAAGTAAAGAGTTAAAATGCGACATGAACTATTTTTTTGTGATTTTTTCATATTTTTGTGAAACAACTAATTTACTAATTAATCTAAAATATAAAATTAAGTCCTAAATGCAAATGCAATGTATTTTTGTATTTTTCATGAATTAAATAAAAATTAAACATGCACACAAAAATGCAAATAATCAGAAAAATTCTATAATAATTCCTAAAATAACAAATAATGAAAAGAAAAATCTAATTCTTTGGTATTCTGTAGGAGTAATTCATGTGAGGCAAAAATCACGTGCTCACAGCTGCCCCTCTTTGCTCGGAGACACGAACGGTTTACAGGCAAAGATAAAATGAGCAATTATGAGGGATTTTTGCCCGTTTGAAACTCTATGAGAAGCATTTTTGGAAAGAGCCTGGCCGAACCTTGCTTCAAAGGTTGCCTACATATCCTTGGCTATAAAGGAATCAGGTCAGTGTAGTTCTGGAAGTTTTGGTAGTTGGGACTACCGGAAAGCTGCGATTTTACTGTTGCCGCTGCTACTGGCTTGCTCAACTCCTTATTACACCAAAATGGAAAAATAAGAAGCTAAATTAGCTAATCCTATCAGCTACGGGTTACAAGATTCCTATCTATAAATCTTTTGAAGCTTGATCTTGAGTCTTGGCTGGTTCTTGCTGCAGACTCCGATCTGAATCTTGATGTTCGTCAGCTATGGGTGTTGGTTCCTTTTTCTTCAGATTTGGATCAAGGCGGGACATTCGAGGCTTGTGGTTTCAATCATATCTTGAGCAGTACGCATCTTTCTCCGCTTCAGCACTTTGAGTTCACTTTTTTTTTGCTCTTTTTCTTCTATTCTTTGTTCTGTATTGAGACTTATTCTTTTGGTCGTCTCGAACCCTGTGCCTCGAGGTAAAACCTGCTCAGACACCAAAACAAACAAACGAACGAAATTTTTCTGCCCCAATTTTCATTAGGAAAATTTTGTGAGTTATTTGTAACAAAACTTGTTTTTTGGAAAGCGATAAAATAAGGATTGTGTGTCTTTATGAGGAAGAGATTAGGGAATGGAGCCCTATATCTATAAAATCTCAACTAGGGAGTGGATACCCTATGTTGGCAAAAGGCGACTAGGGAATGGAGGCCCTATGTCTAAAATCTCAACTAGGGATTGGAGCCCTATGTTGGCAAAAGGCGACTAGAGAATGAAGGCCCTATGTCAAAAAATCTAAACTAGGGATTGGAGCCCTATGTTGGCAAAAGGAGACTAGGCAATGGAGGCCCTATGTCTAAAATCTCAACTAGGGATTGGAGCCCTATGTTGGCAAAAGGCGACTAGGGAATGGAGGCCCTATGTCTAAAAAATCTCAACTAGGGGTTGGAGACCCTATGTTGGCAAAAGGCGACTAGGGGGTTGGAGACCCTATGTTGGCAAAAGGAGACTAGGGGATGGAGACCCTATGTCTAAAATCTCAACTAGGGGTATGAGACCCTATGTTGGCAAAAGGCGACTAGGGGATGGAGACCCTATGTTTAAAAATCTCAACTAGGGGTTGGAGACCCTATGTTGGCATAAGGCGACTAGGGGATGGAGACCCTATGTCTAAAAATCTCAACTAGGGATTGGAGCCCTATGTTGGCAAAAGGCGACTAGGGAATGGAGGCCCTATGTCTAAAATCTCAACTAGGGTTTGGATCCCTATGTTGGCAAAAGGTGACTAGGGAATGGACGCCCTATGTCTAAAATCTCAACTAGGGATTGGAGCCCTATTTTGGAAAAGCGTAAAAGTAGAGATTGGGGTCCTAAGCTACCATTTTTTTTTGGAATTTTCTTATTATTTTTTTCCAATTCAATTTCCTTTTTTTTATTTCACGGAATGAGTAAATGCAGGAAAAACATGGAGGGGACTTCCCTTTTTATGGATTGTTGCTGCAAAGCTGCTTCTAGCACTTGCGCATTTCTTTTTCCTTTTTGGGTTGCACATGCTTCTTGCACGGTTGCTTTGGATTGCACCTGTTTCAATATTTCAAACAAAGAACAATTGTTAGTTTGAAACGGTGGTTGGTTTTGTGGCCTTGATTGTTTTTGATCACTTGATCTCGGCCGATTTCTTTTGGTGAGAACCTCTGCTGCTTGCTAGCTTTTCTGCAGATTTATCTCTTTCCTAAAACCGAGGAACTCAACTTTCCAAACTTTCCAGATGACGGTTCACCCGTGTGGGGCCTTGGTCCTTTCAACTTATTCTGCCTCTAGGGGCTTTTGACTTTGGATTTCTTTTCATTTTCAATAACTTTGATTTTAGAGCATCGGCCATCATGGCCAGTCGGGATCCACTTGATGCACCCGCTGAGGCTGGGTACTTTTCTTTGGACTTGGCTTTTATTAAGTAGAGACCTGTAAAACCAATCTTGCCACCTTTTCTTTGTATTAGTTACGGAACAAAGTTAGACCGAAAGGGATTCAAAGGAAAGTGAACAAAAGACAAAAAAGTGAATTTAAAGAGAAGTGTCCCTTTCGGGGAGGAAAGAAGGACTTATCTGGAGTGCATGCAGACTTCAATAGACATGATATGCTTCTTGGACTGGATGCCTGATTTGCACGACTATCCAACTTCTCATAAACTTATTGCGATCCGTGTTTTAAAAACCGAGAAGCCTTGACAGGACTCTTTCAGTACCAATGGTGGTGAGGGGTTTCTTCTTTCGATCAACGGCGCCCTTTGCGGGTTTTCGCCAATCGACCTCTCTCATTTCTCTTCTCACCGTCGCCTTATAGTGCTCTTTACGAGTTTTCACTGACAAGACTCTCTCATTTTCAATTTCTCTGCTCAGCGTCGACTTATGGTGCCTATAGGTTTTCACCAGTAGGACTCTCTCATTTTATTTCTCTCATCTTGATTGCATCGGATCCAAACAACTACGTTCTCTGATTTCGAACACTTTTCATCGATTGATCGGAAGGGCTTGAGCAAGGATTGGGTAAAAAGAATTTGGATCAAATTACAACTTTGGAACCGTTCAGGCGGGATCATTGCCGAGCCATTATAACATCTGCCCCAGTTTCACTTTTGGGGAGAATTGGATTTTTGTTTTGGTGTGACTGAACCTCAGAGAGTGGCTGCCTACGTATCCTTTCGGAATCAAGTCGAACGTAGTTCAGGGAAACATTTTGTTTTGTTGTTTTTGTTGTTTTTTTATTTTTCTTTTCTTTTTCTTTTGTTTTGATGCTTTTTTTCTTTTTTCTTTTTGTTTTTACAAACATCTTCAAGTTCCCAAGAGGGTAATGAAAGAAAGGTAATCGGCTCAAAGGGTTAGCAAAGGATTGGAGTGTTTGGGGTAGCGATAATGAAAGCCTTCGTCATCCCAATTGGATAATGTTGTTGCTGCAGAAGGATTAGACATAGTACCTTTTGACTGCGTCTGTATTTACAGCTGTTTTGGGGTCATTTCCTTTGATTTCTCTCAGATATAACGCCCCTTTTGGAAATAATTTTCTGATAATGTATGGCCCTTTCCAGTTAGGAGCAAACTTTCCTTTTGCTTCCTGATGATGGGGAAGAATACGCCTTAAAACGAGTTGCCCCACTTCAAAGTTTCTAGGCTGCACTTTCTTGTTGTAGGCACGGGCCATTCTTTGTTGATACAACTGCCCGTGGCAGACTATCGTTTTTCATCGATCAGGGTTAACTGTTCCAAACGGGTTTTGACCCACTCACTGTCTTCAATTTCAGCTTCAACAATGATTCGGAGAGAAGGGATTTCAACTTCTGCGGGTATTACGGCTTTAGTGCCATAAACCAAAAGATACGGGGTTGCTCCGAATGATGTGCGCACAGTAGTGCGATATCCCAACAATGCAAATCGCAACTTTTAATGCCATTGCCTGGAACTTTGGATCATCTTTCTCAAAATCTTTTTGATGTTCTTGTTTGCTGCCTCAGCAACACCATTGGCTTTAGGCCGATAAGGGGTAGAGTTTTAATGCGTTATCTTGAACTTCTCACATATCTCCCTCATCAAGTGACTATTCAAATTTGCAGCATTATCAGTAATGATAGTTGCAGGAATACCGAAACGGCAGATGAGATTGGAATGCACAAAGTCTACCACAGCTTTCTTGGTGACAGATTTGAGAGTAATTGCTTCAACCCACTTCGTGAAGTAGTCAATAGCGACCAATATGAATCTATGCCCATACGAAGCTTTTGGCTCGATCGGCCCAATGACGTCCATGCCCCAGGCAACAAATGGCCAAGGTGCTGACATGGGATGCAGTTCTGTAGGCGGTGCATGAATCAAGTTACCATGCACCTGACACTGATGATATTTCCGGACGAAACTAAAGCAATCTTTTTCCATAGTCATCCAATAATAGCCTGCTCAGAGGATTTTCTTCGCCAAAACATACCCGTTCATGTGGGGTCTACACACCCCTGCGTGCACTTCTTACATGATTCTTCCGGCCTCTTCGGCGTTAACATATCTTAATAAGTTGAGATCTGGAGTCCTTTTGTATAAGACCTCACTGCTCAAAAAGAAACTGCTTGCAAGTCGTCTAATAGTTCTCTTTTGGTCTCCACTGGCTTGATCAGAATATTCTTTAGTTTTCAGAAATCTCTTGATATCATGATACCATGGTTGAAGATTCGGTTCTGCCTCAACCGTATTGCAGTAACTGTGCCTTTCCCGGATTTGGATTTCCAACGGGTCAATGTGGGCATTGCCTGGGTATGGCAGCATTGAGGCCAACGTAGCGAGCGCATCAGCCAACTCATTGTGAAAACGAGGAATGTACCTGAACTCGACTAACTTAAATCGCCTGCTAAGATCTTCCACATGTTGACTGTAGGAAATAAGCTTGACATCCCGGGTCTCCCATTCTCCCTGAGCTTGTCGGATAATCAGGTCCGAATCTCCCATGATTAACAATTCTTCGACATCTTGGTCGATTGCCATGTTCATACCCATAATGCAGGCTTCATACTCGGCGGTGTTGTTTGTGCAGATAAACCAAAGTCGGGCTGTGGCTGGATAATGCTGACCAGTGGGTGAGATCAAGATTGCCCCAATTCCAATACCTTTTGCGTTCACGGCCCCATCGAAGAACATTTTCCAAGCATTGGTGTCTTCGGATATTACCTCAATTGAATTTACCTCTTTATCCGGGAAGTAGGTGCTCAAAGGCTGGTATTCATCATCGACAGGGTTTTCAGCCAGGTGATTTGCTAAAGCTTGGGCTTTCATTGCCGTGCAGGTTACATATACTATGTCAAATTCAGTGAGCAGGATCTGCCATTCTGCTAACCTCCCTGTGGGCATTGGCTTCTGGAATATGTATTTCAGAGGATCCAACTTGATAATGAGGTAAGTGGTGTAGGCTAGCAAGTAATGCCTCAGCTTCTGAGCAACCCAAGTTAGAGCGCAGCAAGTCCTTTCCAACAAAGTTAGTAGATTGCCTGCTCTCTTTTCCCTGTCACATCATGTTGTCCGAGGACACATCCAAAAGAATTCTCCAAGACTATCAGATATAAGACTAGAGGTCTCCCTGGCTCAGGTGGGACCAAAACTGGTGGGTTCGATAGGTATTCTATGATTTTGTCAAAGGCTTCTTGACACTCATCCGTCCATTTATTCGCTGCATCTTTCTTTAACAGTTTGAAGATGGGTTCACATGTGGAAGTCAACTGAGCAATGAATCGGCTAATGTAGTTCAACCTTCCAAGCAGGCTCATAACCTCTTTCTTGGTTCTTGGAGGAGGCAAATCTCGAATAGACTTTATCTTTGTTGGGTCTAACTCGATGCCCCTTCGACTGACTATAAATCCCAAGAGTTTTCCAGACGGAACCCTAAATGCACATTGGGCCGGATTTAGTTTCAAATCATATTTATGCAGCCGCTCAAAGAATTTTCTCAGGTCCCGAACATGGTCGTCCTGGGTCCTGGATTTGATGATCACATCATCCACATACACCTCTATCTCTTGGTGCATCATGTCATGAAAAATGGCAGTCATGGCTCTCATATAGGTTGCCCCAGCGTTCTTCAGACCAAAAGGCATGACCCTGTAACATTAGGTCCCCCAGGGTGTGGTGAAAGCTGTCTTTTCCGCATCCTCTTCATCCATCAACACTTGGTGATATCCTGCATAGCAATCCACGAAGGACTGTATCTCATGTCTGGCGCAGTTATCAACAAGGATGTGGATGTTCGGCAAAGGGAAATTATCTTTGGGACTTGCCTTGTTCAGATCTCTGTAGTCCACACACACTCGTGTTTTCCCGTCTTTCTTTGGCACTGGAACTACATTGGCTAACCATGTGGTGTATCGAACCACTCGGATCACCCCCGCTTTCAACTGTTTTGTGACCGCTTCTTTAATCTTGTCACTGATATCAGTTTTGAACTTTAATTGCTTTTGCTGGACAGGGGGATAATCGGGGTAGGTTGGAAACTTGTGAACCACCAAATCGACACTTAGTCTTGGCATGTCATCGTATGACCAAGCAAACACATCTTAGAATTCAAACAAAAGTTGGATCAATGCGTCTCGGGTTTTTTCATCTGTGTGAATGTTTATCTTGCTTTCCTTGACTTCTTCAGAACTACCCAAATTAACCGGCTCGGTATCATTTAAGTTCGGCTTAGGTTTATTCTCAAATTGTTCCATTGGAATTTAAAGACAGGAAACTAAAGAAAACATCCGAGTTACACCCTGAAATAACTCGTGATGCAGAAAAGGTGGCAGGACTGGACTACAGGGATTCCCGCCTGATTAGGAACAGAGTAGCCTTCCAATATTGCAATTTCGCATCGGGGCCCATATATAGCACCTCAGCGGTGCTTGAGCCTTCTCTCGGCTGGACCATGTGGGTTTCGTACATCATTTTTTTAGCAAATCCACTAGGCAGGTGTCAAGGGACAATAGCACCAATAGTGTTGCCTCTATGCCTTGGCTATATAATCACTCCTCTGCGCCTCACAATGCCCTTATGGCAGCCTCATGTAGAAAAATCATGGAGTAGCTGCCGGCAAAGTCTCACGAGGGCATATAATCTCATAGCCATTTGGATATCTTTCCAAAGGCATAAGACTAGAGCAACACAAACTGGCTAAACCTTACCTTACTAATCCTATTGAGGCAAAGAAAAAGCCTCACCTACTAACAAGCATGTAAAAAGAAAGAGCTAGCTAGAACTAAATATTCTATGATCATCACAGAGTTTATAAAATACTCTGTGATGATATTACATAAAACTATGCTAATGTGATGGTAGAATAAGAATATGTAGAAATAACAGTGATGTCCTATCTTCTCTAATTGTGTGAAGTCTTCAACTTGTAACCGCTTGTCTTCATCCTCTACCCTCTTCAAAATGTCTTCAGATTTCATGATTTCTTCTTTGAACGGGTGGACTTTGTTGACGTAGTTGGATAAAACTATTTTTGTTTGGCAACTCTCTTTGGAAGTCGCCTTATATTTACATCTTCATTCACCCTGCCGTCCCAACTTCTTTCCCTTGTTCGAGTCTTCTTACTTTTTCCACTATGCATAGGCGATAAATCACCTTTTCTTGCTGCCTCTGCCCGATATTGATTTAGGATATCATCTTCCTCACCCTCTACATATGTATCTCTGCCCACAATCACCGGATTTGGCATGTCTCGATCAAAGCCTTGTGTTACCATAGTATTTCCCTCCTATTTATTAACTAAGATTGCCTTGTTTTGTGCCACGTTTTGTAATTTTCTCTTGCTCCTACTCACACGACCAGTGCTAAAAGCAATTGTATTTAATGAGTTTCGAGGATCTGACCTTACCATGGCATCCAAAAGTTTTTTCTCCTCTAATGAAATAACTGGAGTGGATGTCACAATTTGTTGCTGCCCAGCAGTTGACATTGTTGCTCCTTTTCGATCATCAGTAGAAACCATAACGGGAGTGTTTGGAATACATTGATGTTTCTGCTTACCTGCACTTGACAGTGCTGTTGTTTTCTCCTGAGTAGCAAATGATAGTGCTGCTACAAATTCTTGCTGCTGCTGTCCAATTTCTGGTTTTGATATTGCAGCATCGTGCATTTTTTCACTGTGCTACTGTTGTTCAATAGCTGCTTGTGCTTCTGCTGTTTGTTCCTCCACAAATGTCACAGATGGTATGATTGCATTACTCTGCTACTGCTGTCCAGGCCTATTTTGTGCTGCATGTTTCAGTAGAGAAACACCTGCTGTGCTTGGTCCAACCTATTGCTTTCCAGCTTGAGGCACAAAAGCTGGTGCTTTTGCATTAAGTTTGCTATTGGAGTTTACCTTTATGGAGCTGCCAATTTTAGGTACTGATGGTGAGCCAACTGAGAGCACACCTTCATCCTCACTCTCATGGTCATCCTCTTCACTCGAATTCCCAGCATACGCATCACCATAGTCTTCCTCATCCTCATATTCACGTTGGTATGCCCATAGCTTAGATTTGATTGCCATTCCCCTCAAATTAGCCTTTATAACTTCATTGTTATTTCTAGGTGACAACATCAACTCACCTCCATATTCACCACAGGACTCTAAAGACTGTGATGGTACATCCTGCACTAAGGTGTTCAACGTGATCATTGGTTGTTTAACCATATTAGTATGCATCATCATTGCATTCTAGGCCTCTTTAATTATTTGTTCGACATGAGGACTGGAAAAATGTATTGTAGGAATATTAGAACTATGTGCCTTGGCCGTTAACTCCTCCACACCATTTTTCTTTAAGACCTGCTGTCAAACATGAACATACAATGCAAAATTCACGTTGGTTTGAGCTTCTTTTCCACTACTGTAACATGGAACTATTTGCTTGGACATCATGTCACCTTTTTGAACTGTTGAATCCAGTTGATCACCCTCTATATCTGCCAGTGCTTCAAAAACATTTGAGTTAGACACCTTGCTAAACTCATTTGATCGAACACCTTGATTCTGTCGTTTTGGTGAATCCCCTTTCTTTGCAGGAGATTTTCTAGTTGTTACAACATTCCAATCTCCTTTCTTTTTGTTCGTATCACCTCCCTTATCATCCTCAACTAAATTCCCAGTGTTATTTTCCAGTGCTATGCTCATATGACCCGCCTTTTCATTCCCTGAAGTCTGGGCAACAGCTTGTTTGTCAGAGGTTTGACTTGCAAATATTTTCTATTCACCTTCAGAATTTTTTTGAGAACTATCAGCCTCCCTATCAACTTTACCACCTGCAGAAACCTTTCTAACATTTACCATATTATTTTCTGCATTATGTTGAACACCAGCTGCCCTATCAGTTGTTCCTTTTCCAGCCTGTGCACTCACAGTAGCTCGATCAGCAACAGTTTTCAAGGCTCCAGCAGTAGCTAGGTACATTCTACCAAACACAGTAGAAGCAGGGACATCTCGTGAAGGTTTAGGAGGTCCTTTATTAAGTTTTAACACTTCCTCTATTGGCATCACATGAGCAGTAACATGTGGTGCTACTGAACTTCCAATAACACCAACAGCAATTCTCAAAACCCCTGCCTGCTCTTGTTCTGCATTAGCCATAAATTTTTAGATTTTAATAGATTGAATTTTCAATACCTATTGTTGCCCATCTCTGGTTTCGTTTGCTGCTATTTCCACAAGACTTTGGCCAGCTCTTTTAGCATTCAAATACTCCCTAGCATCACCCTTGTCAAAATTTGTCACCTCCTTACCAGGCATATTACTGCCAGTTGTTACATCCTCAACTATCATCTCCTTATCAGCTTGTTCTTTCATAAGTCGACACACCTTTTCGTCATGTCCTTGTTGCTTGCAACAAGTGCAATATTTAAGGAGATTGTCATAAACCACTTCTTGGTAATGCACAACATATTTACCAGTACTTCTATCTACAATCTGAAGCTTGATCTTTTAGGATGTTTGTCGAGCAAATCAAGAATTACCTTAACTTTAGCAGCACTAGGTCTTGTTCTTTCATGCGCCGCCTTGTCTACAACAAGAGCTTTCCCCACAGCTGAAGCAATAGACATCAACGACCTCTTAGCAAAGAAATTAGGCGGCAAACCTGGAAAAGAAATCCACACGACTGCCATAGATGTTTCTTCCTTTGGATTGAATCCCAACGTCCATGGGAAAGTTCTGAAGAAGTATTCTTCACCTTTGGATTTGAGATAGCCAGTCGACTTTGATAGGAACTGAACATAGTCATTGTATAGATCAATCCTGACCAAAAGGTGACGAAATTCCA